GGGGGGGGGGGACTCTGCATTTTATTGTAACTGCTTGAAAGTATGCATTGCGACCTAATCTAGCAAGTAATAAAGGGAAACGACAATATGAAACACGACTGATGGACGATTTTTCAGTGCAATAAATATGTTTTTACACGAAGAGGCATGTCCTTCGTCCGTCCCTATTTTTTATATCACTTATTACTGCTTAATTGGGGTCAATGGATGAAATGGCAAAAAATTAATATCTAAAGAAAGACAAATAAATTTGCAAATTCTTTTGTTAGTTAGACTAAATTTCTATTCAATTGCGTACAATTTAATCTCACGCATGGATGTTCAATTTTATATCGTGATTTTACTCATTTTGCAAGAAACATGTGTCAAATTGACGAGGGATGCGCATACGTTTGGAAAATGCCATCTTTATTACAAGATCCTTCAGAATCTGTGATGTCGCCATGTTAATTCAAACTACTTATTCGTATATAATAACATTAGACTGTGATATATTTGCACCGAAATTTATTTCGCAAAATAAAAACGTTAATATAGATACGATCGACTTCTCTAGATTTAACGATAGGATGATTGCGATGATTTCCGTGGGGAAATCCCATACAGCAATGGCTTCTAACATGCAATTCTCTAACTAACATGAGTGTATCTCAACTGTATTCTCAAGTGCGTGAATCTAATTTAGTCCAATCAAATCTGAGAATTGATAAAGTAAAAACAATAATGAAAAATTGATTGAAGACACAATACGTCTCTTGGTTAGGGAATCTCTGAATTTTCAGGAACGAATACATTTAATGCTAATGGGAAATTCTTAAGAAAAGAGAAAACGTTATGTATTATTGTATTAAACAACTATGTATATAAATCTCTTCTCAAGTTTTCAAAATTTTTCAAAAACAACACAACCTTTAATTTAATCTTTTCCCCCGCGTCTCACACAGTCTCGCAAATATTCACGACAACACGAGAAGTCAAGATCTCTTTGGAATTTGCTGCTCTCACACCCCAAGGATCATATTTTTTAGCAGAGTGTAGAGAGAGAATTTTCCCCAATCCCTGTTCGAAGTTTCAATTTTGTTCTCAAACTTTCGTCTCGCGCGCGTGTCAAATATCTCTGTCCGAGGGAAACATTGTTCGCTCGTGTGGATTACGTAATTCCCGCTGTACTTGTACTTGTTATGTCGCGGCACAAGTTTGGACGAGATTAGGAAAGGGGGGAAAATATCCGTCTCGGGACGATGGGGGGACGGTCGAACGCGCATCCACGAGCTGGTCGCCGTCAGCTTTCGAGAAACGAAACGCTCCGACAGGTTGACGCGTGAGATGGAATCTGCGCCTACGAGGGACGGCCCGAAGAATGTATTCTACGTGTCGCCGGTGTCAAATGGTTAAAAGACACGGGACACGCCTTGGCCGAGAACTCGATTGCTAGGCCGATCGTCCTCGCCGTCGTCCTCGCCTCGCCCTGACACTTTCGACTTCCGTCGTTTCACAAAACTATCGTCGAAAAATAGAGAGAAAGAGAGAGAGAGAGAAGTCCATTTCAGGAGAGGGTGCACCATCTTCACCCCCTTCGCGGCAGAAATTCCTTCGCGGTTTCTCAATCTCGGTTTGTAGACCTGTTAGACGCACTCGCGTTAGACGCGTCACACGGACAGGTGAATCATGGAATATCGCGCCCTGCCATGGTTACATTATATCTGATGTTGATGTCTCTCGATCGAGACTCGCCTCTTTCCCTTTTTCTTTTCTTTTTTTTCTTTTTTCTCGACTTTGTTGACTTCGTTCACTTTTTCGACCCGTTGGCTTTCACGCGTTGTGCCCCTGTAACGAGTACAAGAACGACACTTGCAGAGCGAAAAGTTGTAAAATTTCATAAGTCGATGATTTATTGATTATACTCTGTGCTCGGCCGTACGGATGCATTGTCTGACAACAATGACGGATGGTAGTTCGAGCCGAAGGAGAAAATTGAGCATTGAATTCGGTGTTGTGTGTTCAGAGAACGAGTAGCGAATTTTTATCGATCTCAGGACAAAGTCAACTATGTAATACTGTTTGTAACTGTGTATGCAAAGAAAAGTCGCGCGACAATAAACGTGGATTCATTTCAGAGCTCGAAGTCTCTACTTTCGAAATGCATCGTTCGTCTTATTCTAATTGTAAGATGAAGCAAATGGTGAAGTGAAGGGAATTTCTCTTCAATTTCTCGGAAATTGAAAAATTTGTTTCATGGTTTCGATCTAGTGTGTATTTGAAGGTTTGAAGCCTCTCCTTTGCAACGACTCCCTTTAACTGTAACATACGATTTTACTACGCTATTAATCCTAAACGAAAATTAAAGAAATCGTAAGATATTCGCCTGATATTCAAAGTTCAATGAATTGGCAAAAAGAAATCGTGCATCAAGTTTTAACGGATCATTGTAAAGAAGAAACTTGAATCTTCAAATCCACTGTAGATTCAGTTAACGAAAAAAAATTTTCTCAATCTATTTTTACATGCTATGACAATCTGTATGAAAATATTTTCGAGAAGAAAAGTCTTCACTTTCCTATCTGTTATATGATGTCGTAGAATAAAATAAACGAAGCAATTTAAAAGTGGAAACTTTGAGCCCAGATTTATTGTTGTATTGTGTAATGAATACTTCATTGTTCAAATATCAAAATCATTGTATATTGATGGTGTTTCTGGCTTTGTAACTCTCTTAATGAAAATTCCTTCTTATAGAAGAAAATCTGTAAAGGTCGTAAAATAACCAGCGCCAGCACATGTAAGCAATCAGAACAAATGCAAAAATAATGGCTTCAATTATCACAAGTCATATCTTAATAAGGGTCTCTTGGTTACAGACTAAGGAATAACTGTTTGTCAAATGTCCTCGAATTTTCTGTCGCTTTGAGAATACTTTAGCCAAAGATGTGGCATTATTCTCGACATTTTTCAATTTTCAGTATTTTAACGCAGGTCCAAGAACATCTTCTTTGTCTTCATTCATCACTCGTTTACCATGGCACTTTGAAAGATTAAGATATCCCATCGAATAATTTTCTACGTTTAAGTACGTCCTAAACAGATGGGAGAATGGGTAAACGTTTTCCATCAAATTGTTAGTCACGGGACATTGTACAATCGAGAAATCAAGAATATAGAAAGAAACGTCTTTTGTACCAATTTATAATTCGTTCATCATGGCATTTTGAAGGAACGAGATATCGAGTAACTTTCTACGTTCAAGTATATCCTGAAACAGATCGGAGGAAATTTTTCGGCGAAGCAAAATCTAGTTCACCGAAGGAAAACCGCGAAGTTCACGATTATTTTAATTTCCTTTCAACGTAAACGTTCTTCGTCAAATCGTTAACACAGTCGAGAAATCAAGAATACAAAAAGAAATTGAAACCTGTAACCATCTCATGGCTACTCTAATCCGAAATACTGTATGTCTCTTAGTTTCGTCATTTTTAACGTCAATTGTAACGTCATTCGTTACAATTCTGAATCTCTAAATTCACAATCAATGTTCAAATGGACAAATCGAAAACACAAGTCCAGCCAGATAAGTGGGAAGTCAGTGAAACGAACGTTCGACTTCCTTTTTTCCGCCGACGGTCGGTGATCTTTCGCCGGCGAGGGATCGATCCAAATTTACCGTGAGATCGCCCAGCGGGTGATCTGACGCGATATTCCTCGCACCTACGTCGGGCGGCGCGCACCTGTGCTCGCAGTGAAAGAAAGCGGACGACCTCGTGCAGGCCCGGAAATTCGAAATTCGCCTGTAGCTTCTGGCTAGATTCTATCCGACATGGTTCACATACCCTGCTCCTGTGTACATGTATGTACGCGTATGTACGTGTGTACACAGAAGATGGTAGAATGGAAAAGACGGAGGGGCCGGGAACACGGTCGCGTTTTCAACGCCACCGATGCAACAATGGAGACTCCGATCCGAGGATCGAGACCGGCACAATGTGCCGCTGACGTGTTTATATAGCTGCCGTAAATGGGAGAGGTTGGGAGAGGCTGGGCGAGGCATACACGGCGAGACCGTGTAATTTAGTTATAGATCAGTTTGTTACAATTTGGCATTTCGTTTGTACCGGCCCTGGTAAACTCTGTTTACCCAGGCTACGATGATCGACGAGTAAACGAAGTTTGTTTAGGAGCTAACCCTGCGCGGTCGGCCGGTCCCTACGACACCATTTGTCCTTTTTCACCTGAACGCGGACCTTCCTTGTCTCGTTTCCTTCCCTTTTTTTTTTTTTTTTTTTTTTTTTTTTGGCCCGTCGCGTCGGGGAACTACGTCTCGCGATTTAAAAAAAGAAAAGGAAAAGAAGTACGAATTTTTATGGTAATTGCTGAACTTTCCTCGCATCTTACAAGAAGGAAGAATGTTTAATTTACTGGGACGGTCCCTGCGGACCTCTCGTCCTTTTTTATTTTCCAAAAAATATGCGGACCTTCCGTTTTTTATTTTCTCCCTTCTTTCTTTAATGCGCTATATACCTTTATTTCGGGGGACAGCGTTTCACAGTTTAAAAAAATACTTAGTTACTTTTATATCCTAATTTGAGCGTCCTTTAACTACCAAGCTAACAGGATTTGACCATCTGTCACAAGTCAGGATGATTCGTTGTCAATATTAATTTTTTTTTTTCATTTTCTTCCGTTTCTCGTGTTCAATTCGGATTCCCAGTGTGTCGAGTTTCACTTCGTTCGCGTTCGGTCTCGACAGTTTATTACAAAACACATATATACACAATTATCTCTGCGATTCTACCAATTTCCACTGGAGTAACGTATCCGAAGGCAGGGCTCGGTATAATAACCGGCATCGGTGCTTTGAACGACTTTCAAAGGGATTCGCGTTATTCAA